CACACGTCCGAGCGACGCAAAGGGCTAAGCGTTTCGCCCCCTCGGGGGCTCTTCGGGCCAACTTGCCTACGGTGCAGCCTCGAACGTGCATCGTCGACCAAGGGCCCGGCCGGAGGCGGAGCGGAGAGATGACACGCCCACGCGAGGTTTTTCACGGCACCTGGGCGCGGGCGTTCGAGAAGGCAGCTCCTGGGAGGTCTTCGTTAGAGTGATTACAGGCTATTCACCTCGATTCGGGGCTTGGCAAGCGAGGCAACGTCGGGGGTTGGCAAAGTCCCCGAGGGCAAGCTGACTCTGCATTGTCACACACACTCCGCCTTTGGGGGGCGCAGCAGTAAAAGAATCAGCTTCTGAGAAAGCACCGACAGAACGATTAAGAGGCCACTGAGCTGGACTTGGGGTGGGATTGGGCGGGGCGATGGAATTGTTCCGGATTGAACGGAATTAAAGCGGATCAAGCGGGACAAAGCTAGACTCGGCCAGTTTTCGACCAGGGATATACCAGCGCCGATTCGGAAAAAAGTTGCCTGTCAGGGGGCGGCGAAACCAGGAATAACATGAAGCCAGGACAAGGGCAAAATCGGACCGGGGCGAATCGGAAATCTCAGAGATCCGGCGGTTCTGGAGAATATGTCGGGCGCCGGAGCCATTCCAGAGCGATCCAGAACGCTTCTCGAAACGCGGCTCTCGCCTGAGACTTTCTCGGCATGCCTGACCAGAAGTGCAAACGTGCGCAGCAGTGGAACCAGACGTGGCGCGGTCCTTTCTGCGAGGCGGGGATCTCGTAGGACGCCTCGCTGAACTGTGTGATGATACTCCAGATTTCGTAATAAAAGGGAGGGGGTCTCATTTCGGGGGGAGGTCTCATCCAGGCTATCTTGGAGGGCCCGGGGGGATCTGGGGACGATGTTTTGGAGGGTTCTCTCACGGGAGAGGTCTGAAATGGCTTGTCTTGGAGGGTCCAGACCCCCTCCCTTTTATTACGACATCTGGAGTATGTTGTGTTGCAGCATCGCTGATGCACCCTTGGGCTTACTCTGGTCCTCCTACTCGTCCGCCGACTCCTCCCAAGGGCAAGGGGTACAGCAACGTTAGCTGGAGAGGCGGGGTGCCGGGATCCTGGCGGCGGTTGCTAGGGAGACAAGGGTATTACAGGCGGATGCTGGGTTGAGATTACATCTGGCGTCAGCTAACTTATAAGCGGGATAGAAACGCCCTACGTGGCTTGGGTGCGTTCGATAACTCCGCTATATGGGCGCAGCCCTCTTAGTCGAGATTTTAGGTCTCTTGGGGCACTTCTGACCCACATTTATAAGCGATGCGAGGCCAGATTCAAGCCACCCTGACGTTCACTGACAAACTCCCTATCCCCGTGGCAATCCCCGCGGCCATGGACGAAGCGGAACAAGCGGAGCGCCCCCTCCCATCCTCCTCGCGCAGACTTCGAACAAAGATGCCCGGGCGGCGCCGCTACACGCCATGGCAACCTCTGCGTTCACCCGGGCCATGTACTCGCTGCTATTGAACTTGCAGGAGGCCTCACTGGGAGCAGGGGGCGGAGGAGGCGGAGGTGGAATCGGAATCATGACGAGAGGCGGATACATGCGTGTGGATGAGGTGGGAGATGGAGAGAGAGAGAGAGAGACCAACACATCGCGACTGTATGATGATGCTGATGATGATTATGACGATGATGATGATGAAGATGAAGATGAAGATGAATATGATTATGCTGATGCTGATGATGCTGCTGCTGCTGATGATGATGATGATGGTGGTGGTAATGATAAGTACGACGATGATGATGATGATGATGATGATGATGATGATGATGGTGGTGATGATGATGAGGAGGACGATGATGATGAGGATGGTGATGATGATGCTGCTGATGATGCTGCTGATGATGCTGATGGTGATGGTGATAAAGGAGTAGGAGGAGCCTTCGAGGAGGAGGACGGGAGAGCTGGAGGGGCTCCTGGACTTCTTGACCCCTTAGCTATTCTGCCACGATTCTGCCTAGCGGAGCGCCAGAACTGACGCCCTCGATCCCAGAGAAACCAACATGCACCGATTCTGCAACTTCCTGGACCTCTACAGGGTTCCGTTCTGACCAAAACTCCGAGGCGAATCCAGCCGTGGCTACGAGGGCCTCCCATGATCGGGGAGACGCAAGACTCGGGGTCGGGGCACTCGGGTTGGCCTGACGGGGCCTTCAAGAGAATGACGAGACCCCAATCTGAAACTTGACGCGAACTCTCGCTGCAGACATCCCGTGAAAACTGGACCGTCAAAATCCAGGGCGGGCTCGTCAAAAAGCGTAGGCGAACCCGACTTCCGGCGTACTCGAGTCGTACGTTTCCCCGACAGGAGGCCCAGAATAGGCGAAAACGAAGCAAAGGCAGCGGCATCGGTGCCTTTTTTTCTCCTCGGACCTCCCCTCCGAAACCACACGAACAGAAATGCGGCATCGTCACACAAAATCCGACCACAGCCCTGGCCCCCCCTCTCTCTGCGGCACCTCTCGAGCCGCATCGCTTCGCGCGAGGCCTCTGGGGCCCGAGGCAGGGCAAACAGCACGCCCGGGGTGCGCACAGACTGCGGCGCGCAGGCTCCCCGCCACGCCGTGCGCCTCCGCCACCTCCTTCAGGCTGGTGCAGCAGCGGTGCTCCAGCGCCCCCTTGTCGAAGCCCACCGTCACGAGGTCCAGCAGCCAGTCCGCCTCGCCGCGCGGTCGCAGCCCCCCGCCGGGCGGCGGCGATCGGGAGGCACCCCCGGGGGGGGTGCCCAAGAAAAGGGCGGGAGAGCCCGAGCATCAAGTCGGGCCTGTCCCCCTACAGGGGAATTTTCGAAGAACAATTAAACATACCCCAGAAATAATCAAAAAATACCCCCAAAATAGTCTGGGGACTATTTTGGGGGTATTTTTTTACCCTTTTGGAGCATTTTTGGAGTATTTATTATTTTTCGTCGAAAATCCCCCTGTAGGGGACACGCGCAACATAACCCGAGCACGGCGCACCCGAGGAGCGCGTTGCCACAGCGTGCTCGCGTCGTGGGAGGTCACCGCAGATAATTGTTCGCAATTCTCTGAAGGGGCCCCAAGACACACAAATAAATACACACAAATAAAAAGATTCCCCATATTTCGCATATTTTCTAAATTTTTGCCTTCCCCCCCACTTCCCATAGTTTCCCATATTTTCCTGGGAATCGACGATTAAGTGTGTCTGTGTTTTTTCCCCTCCTGATTCTCGGCCTCCGGGTGCCCTCGACGGGCCCAAGGACCGTCGGAAAACACGACGAATTCGGGGTGAAGAACCGGCACCGGGGGCCGGTAGTGAGAAACCGGTGTGTCTGGGCCCTGCCCCAGGAGGCTTCGCCACGACGCCACAGGACCACGCAGATGCGTGTAGAAATTTCCGGCCAACTCTCGGGGCGACACGCGCGGAACCGAGGAGATACGCCGCGTCTTGGGGCGTCATTTGCCACAAGCTGGACAACACACAGGATGATCTATAGATGATCGCTGTTCACGCAGTGCCAGCCGATAACCTAGCCTGTTCGCTTTGGGCCACGTGCTCCTCGTCGGACCTGCGCAGCCGACAAGGTCAGGCTATCCGGGGTGGAGGGGGGAGGGCGGGCGGGCCCGATATAAGCCGCGCTGTCGCGGGACCCTGCAAGCCAACAAGCTCCAGTGGACATGCTCCTGGCCCCAAACGTGCCTGGGATGCCCCAGTGGCACCAGCGGCCCACCACCGTGCCAGGCCGGCCGGCCAGACAGGCAAGCTCTCACGCGCTGCATCGCCCGAGCATGGCCACAAGAGGCGGAGCAAGCACGAGGTGGAGAAGGAGCCCAGGCACGACGAGCACGAGGGAGTCTCCCCCCGTGCCAGGGCTGCTCTATCTCTTGGCCCTCGTGCCGAATGTATACCTCCTGGCTGGGGCCAGGCGCCAGGTCTTTCAATTCTCGCGATGACGCCCGCGAGCTGGACCCCATCCCCCCTTCGGTCACGACGCAGTGCGCACCAGCGCCGTCTGGGGACGAGCCACTCCCCAGCATTCCCAGACGGCTCCCGCGCGAATCGCGGCGTGACCGGCTCCCCCCCCCCCCCCCACCTCGGTCACGCCGTCACGCCTACTGCAGTCAAAACTGAGAGCAGTGAGGCGCGCTGAGGGTGCAAGCCCCTCGGACGCCCACGTCGAAGCGGTTCGGGCGGGGCGGGCCACCGAGAGGGGGGCAAGGACGGATGGGCCGAGGAGGCAAGGATTGAAGGGGCCCCAGGACACACAACTAAAGACGCACAAATAAACAGATTCCAATATTTTTGCTTATATTTTCGGGGTTTCTGTCTTCCCCCCCACTGCCCATATGTTCACATATTTTCCTGGAAGTCGACGATGAATTGTGCCCGTGTGTCTCTTTCCCTCCTCGAAGGATGCAAGGGTAGCCTTGGGAAGGTTGCCCATCCCTGCTATCGTTTTCGACCTAATTATCATGGGGGAAGCGGGTCCCGACGGAAATGGGTCCTGGACCCTGAGGCCTTCCCCCCGGCCCTGCCGGCCTTGCCGGCCCTGCCGGCCCTGCCGGCCTTGCCGGCCCTGCCGGCCCTGCCGGCCTTGCCGGCCTTGCCGGCCTTGCCGGCCCTGCCGGCCTTGCCGGCCTTGCCCGCCCTGCTGGCCTTGCCGGCCTTGCCGGCCCTGCCGGCCTTGCCGGCCAGCCCGCGGTCATCTTCAGTCTCTGTTTTTTTTCTTAGTCATCATGGGGGAAACGGGTCCCGACAGAAATGGGTCCTGGACCCTGGGGCCTTCCCCCAGGACCAATTCTTCATCCTGAGCCGTCTTCCATCCGTCCCCAGGCCCGCGGGGGGCCCCGACGGCCCCAGAACGACGAACCGAAACCTCGGGACTCGTTTCCCTCGGGGCCCGCCTCCCGTGGCGATCGACTGCGTCGCCGGGGACTCACACAAAAAAACGCCCTCCAGGGGGATGGGCAGGAGGAGGGTGGAGGGAGGAGGGAAGAGGGAGGAGGAGGGAGGAGGAGGAGGAGGAGGAGGGAGGCGGGAAGAGGGAGGAGGAGGAGGAGGAGGAGGAGGAGGAGGAGGAGGAGGAGGAGGAGGAGGAGGAGGAGGAGGAGGAGGAGGAGAAGGGGAGGAGAGGAGGAGAGGAGGAGGGGGGGAGGAGGAGGAGGAGGAGGAGGAGGAGGAGGAGGAGGAGAGGGGAGGAGGAGGAGGAGGGAGGGGGAGGAGAAGGAGGAAGGGGGAGGAGGAGGAGGAGGAGAGAGGAGGATGGAGGAGGAGGAGGAGGAGGAGGAGGAGGAGGAGGAGGAGGCGGCGGAAAAGCAGAAGCAGCAGAAGATTGCGATGTGGATCACCCACGAGCGTCCCCGAGGTTCACGCAACCCACCCCGGGGCGCAACAAAATCGACTCTGGCAGGGAACGGGGCGGCGCGGGCCCGGGCGCGAGGAGCAGAGGGCGCCGAGGGCCAGGAGGGCGGAGGCGGAGGGGGGCGGCTTCCATACCTCTTGGGCGCGAACTAACGAAGAGGGGCTATAACTGGGGGGGGGGGGGGGGCTTCGGTGGAGCTCCCTGTGGGGCCACGAAGCATGTGAGGGGTGTGCCGACATGGGCGCGGGGCGCATGCGGACGCAGCCACTGGGCAAGAAAAGTACCCGTCACGGTGCCTAATTAAAGGCCCCCCTTTGGGCCCTAAAGGACCCCTTGAGGGGCCCCAAAGGGCCCCCAAAGGGAGGGGGGCGGCTTGTCTGCGGTCGGGCCTGGGACAGAAGAGCATCCTCCAAGACCCTCCGCTGGCCCAAACACACAGAACATCCAAGGGTACAGTCGGGGCCTTGACCTAGAGAACCCTAAATAAGGAACGAGGCCCCTATTTCCCATAAGTTCAACCTCGATTTTCCATGGAGAACCTCAGGAAAACCCGAGACAAACTGTCAAATATTCAAGGAACACCGAGCCCCTCCCCAACGAAAAGGGTTCCTTCTTCAGGGCCCCGACTGTACCCATCCCCAGGATGCACGAGACCCAAAGCACGACGAAAACGAAGGCGCCCTCCCCGAACCGACCTCGATCTGACATTGGGCCCGTCTGGGGTCTCTCTTGGACCGTTGTTGGCCCCTCTGGGGCGCCTCTGGGGCCGTCTTGGGACGATCTTTGGGGCCTCTGGGGCCGTCCGGAGCCCTTCTGGGACGGAAAAGGGGGGGTTCCGAACAACCCGCAAAAACCCGAGGGGACATCAACATGTTTGGCCTCCTGAGGCCCTCTCGGGGTCCCTCCTGAGGGCCTTCCCAATACATTAAAAAATGAATAAATAAATGAATGAGAGGATTCCCCATATTTCTCCATAGTTCTTGGATTTTCGTCTCCCCCCCCCCCACTTCCCATATTTTCGCATATTTTCCTGAGATCGACGAATCATTGTGTCTGCGTGTTTTTGTTCCCGCCTGCTGTACGTCGGCACCCTCGGGCCTCCGGAAGGCCTCTGGGAGACCCCCCGCGCCCCCCGTGGAGGAGGCAGGAGCCGAGGCCCCCTCTCGAGGCAGTAAGACAATCACCGGGTGAGGCCTTCGCCATCTGCTCGGCCGCTGGGGGCCCTTCGCGGAGGGGCCCTGGGGCACACGAAGAAGTACACGCGAATAGCAGGATTCTCCATATTTTCGTATATTTTGTCTTGGTCTTTGTCTTCTCCCCCACTGCCCATATTTTCCCATATCTTCCGGGGAATCGAGGACACACACAGAAATGCACGCGCATAACAGGATTCCCCATATTTTCGTATATTTGTTCTTGGTTTTTGTCTTCCCCCCACTTCCCATATGTTCCCATATGTTCTGGGGAATCGAGGATTCTTTGTGTCTGTGATTCTTTCCTCCTGACTTACTGGGCGTCGAGGCGGTCCAAAAACGACCCAGGATGAAAAACCGGTCCCGGGGAATGGATCGAGACCTCTGTGGGGCTTCACGCTACGACAGAAATCATGACGTCGGGGGTCTGGGAGAGACGCTCAGGGTGGAGGATGAGGAGGCGGGTTGGAGGCGAGCGCCGAAAAGCACCCAATGGTGCCACCGCCTGGAGGGCATCGCTCTCGTCCGCAGCTGCGGGCGCTTACGCAAGCGGAGGGGCTCGATGTGTACACCACGCTGCCTGGTCGAGCTCGGCGAAGAAATTCAGTGCAAGACGCTCCAGAGCCCTTCAGATTTGGGACTCTAGGGCGTCCAGATAAACCGAGCCCCCCTAGACATCCCGCGTCGTAATCTTGTAATTAATGCGCGGTCCCCCGAAGTCCCGACTTTTCTTCCCTGGGGCCCGTTTTTCATCCCGAGTCGTTTTTTGATGGTGCTGGGCCCGGGCGAAGGCCCAAGACGCAGCAGCAGAGAGGCCGCCCACAGGCCCCCAGGGCGACGCCTACACCCCACACGTGCAGTCTGGAGCAGCACAACGCTAGACAGGATCGAGCACTGCTTCTGGGAAGGAGGCTGCTCCTCCCTCCTCCTCCTCCTCCTCCTCCTCCTCCGCATCCTCCTCCTCCTCCTCCTCCTCCTCCTCCTCCTCCGCATCCTCCTCCTCCTCATCGTCCTCCGCATCCTCCTCCTCCTCGTCCTCCTCCTCCGCATCCTCCTCCTCCTCTTCCTCCTCCTCCTCCTCCTCCTCCTCCTCCTCCTCGTTCTCCGCCTCCTCCTCCTCCTCCACCTCCTCCTCCTCCTC